TTAGTGGTATTTGTTTACCCTGGCAAAAAATACATCAAAATAAAGGTTTTTTCATATATTTGTTATTTTTTATGATTTAAAAGTAACAATTTGATTGAATCAGGCAAGTTTGTATATGAAAGTGTGATTTTTTTCAACGTCGATCAAAAAATTTTTATTAGTGACCCCCTGTAGATCCGCAATGTCCTGCGACTGATATGTGTAACATCGAGTTGTCCCCCATTTATTTACTTACCCCTAGGTATTATTACATGTTGGGATGTGCAAAATTCTAAGAAAATCAAAACTAATTTAGTGTTACAACCTGTTAAGCCTTATCTGTTATAATCCATTAACCTGTTAATAACTCGGATTAACATTAAGAATTTTGTGTTAATGGGTTGTTAACTGATTACTGTTAAGCTTGTTGGATTTGGTATTTGGTATTATATATTTTGAGGAAGAACATTGTTTTTTTGATAAAGAAAATCAACCAACTGAGGCAACTGTCATTAAGGATATGGATAATGTTTTCAATGAAAAATTCAATCAGGTATGAAAAGCAAGTTTACTGCCAATTATGAATTATTATAATTCTTAAAGTGATTTTGAGTACATCATTCTTTTTCTTTTGCATTAGTCACAAAACAAAACAAAAAAACCTGTTAGCCAAGCACTATCATCATCAACTACTACCACTTTTGTTGCCACTTCAACTATTGCTAACATTGTAAGTTGCTTTTTTTCTTTTCAAATACTATCAAGTTTACTTACATCATATTTTGTCATAACAAGTGATGTTATTAGGGTGGGAAAAAAATCAACATTGTGCAAGAAATTTTCTTAGGGTTAAGAAGTTGACAGATCTACCCACTCATTAAGCCTTTTATTAAGCTTTCAATGTTAGATGCTGAAGGGCTATACAATGAAATAGCTGGTGGTATCAATAATATAACAGCAAGTCTTCCTGATGATGATGTTAAGTAATATCTTGAGGAATTACTTGCAGGTGATATTGTAAGTGCATTGGGAAAGCTGGATCAACCACTTACTGATAATCCAAGTCCGCTATTATTATGGACTAGAGAAATTTCTTGTCATTTCATTCTTTATTACCATTATGGTGGTTTGCAAGTTGATTGTAATGAAAAAACATGGTCTACTCAAATTATCTACCAACTACTAGACTTATTTTCAGTTTTTTTTAGCAAAATTGTATCAGGAAAAGAATTGTATGTATTATATACTTTTTTTTTCTTTTCATGATATTTTCTTTATAATTTTATGTTTTTGTTGGTTATAGTGGTGAAATTGATAATGAAGCACATAATGATAGAGCATATAATATTGGGGGGTGTTACAGTCTAATTAAATCAAAACTAAGTAATCTCATATAGTGTCGATCACTAATTTAATGATCGACAATGCAAAGAAAACAATAAATAAAATTGTATTTTCAAAATGCTACTAGTCAATGAAAAAGAGAGAGATCATTTCCAAATTTGAGTATGGAATAGTATAATATATCTATTTTATATGAACAATCTTACAGCCCAAAAGAATACACTCTGTTGCACTATTTAGGCAACTTTTCTAAGCTTGCACATAATAGCGTCGATGATTTAAATTATCACTTTACACAGTATGGTAATTGTACTACTACCACTGCAAAAACTTTTAAATCCATGAGTATTCATGGATATAGTAAGTATTTTTTTGTGCATGTGATGTATGATTTTTTTACATATATATGGGGCTAAGTTTTATTGATATTTTTAGAATATAATGTTTCAGTATATGTTACAGATATTATTTGTATTAAAACATATAGAATATATGAAGTATTAAGTTTTAGGATACCAATATCTTATTCTGAAAGATGGATTTTGTTTCATACTGCAAAATTTGGTACTCTTTTGGAGGTATTACATTATTATTTTTTAGCATAAAATATCTCATTTACAATTCGTTTATCAACCATTCCATTATATATAGAAACTACTCATGGATCAGCAAGATGTAAAAGGGAAAATGTCAAGAGAACATTTTTTAAACAACAATAATACCCATTGTATGGACAGATGGACAAAGATACCAGTCAACGCCCCCAAAACACAAAAGAAAAAACAAAATTTGTGAATACATAGCTTTGAAATTTTTCTTAATAAAGGTTGCTTATTCTTAAAATATATCACTGCTTTTTTTTTTTTTTGATATAAATAGTAAACATCATCAATCACAAATATAGTTTATTTCATTTTTAAGAAATACTGTGCTTATATAGGTGACTTGCACCATAGCATAGACAAAAATCCTTTATGGATAGATTGGCATTACACACATTTAATAGACATTTCAAAAAAAGATCAACAATTTATATGTGAAGAGTATTGTAAAATCGAAAAAGTACCACTTAGAAAAGTGGTGCTGCACAGACTATATAACACCACCTCAAATTTTGCACAAATGTTCTGTTATTATTGTTCTTTCTGAGCGGAATTGGATTTTTATTAATAACAAAGTTGCTCTAAATTTGTCATATCATCCAAATTTGTGATGATCTACATTTTAACTTGACGCGCGTAACATAAAAAATAAAACTGATACACAGAACCTCGATTTAACGGATAGTTTGGGCAATTACTAACTAATATATGTATATATATATATACCTTTAGAGCCTTTTTGGTATTTTATATGATGAAGTTTCTTCATTGGTGTCAATTGGGTTGTTAATTATCAAATGATCATTATCAATTCTGAAATAAAAATAATCATAAATTAATTTAATAAATTTTTTTATTTGTAAAATTGATTTTTCTTTTCCAATTACCAAAATAAAATATAAAACTTATTAGTACAGTTTAATAAGTTAAAATAAAAAAGGGTTGTATATACAAATGAATATTGCTGATGTAGATTTTTCTTTGGAATTTCAATTCAACAATTTTTCTAAAAAAATTTTCATATATTTATTTAATATTTAATTGACACAACCTATGCGATTATTAGAAAACCTAGTAGATGCCTCATCTTCACATAAATCATAAGCAACCAAAACAGAATTAGAATGTTTCCTGGAAAGTGAATTTGGATCCTTTGATCCAATTGATACAACTCCTTTTTATTGTAAGGATTTGCTAAAAAAAAATCATCTTTTTTATTGTTAAAACAGATGCTTTGCTAAAAATTAATCATCTTGAAAATATAGATTCGGATGTTAATTGTTGCCACCACTATAAATAGAAGAGGATAACCTTTTTAATACAAGACTTTAATTGTTAATTTTAATACTAATCAAAAATGAATGCCATATTTTTTTAATAATAATGAATGCAAATATGAATGCCATGTTTAATAATAAATGCATCGTTATTTGGTACTAATCAAGATTGTCAAATAATAAATGCCAATGCCACATTTATTAATAATAGTTTTTGGCACTTATCGATTTATTTTTTATTACTAAATTTATGGCTAGTATAATAATATATTAATTTCCAATTATGCCTTGCACAATTTGAAATGATTTATTTTCTTATTATACAATATTGTAAGTATTATTAATGCCTGTCCTTTTTAAGAAAACATTAGGGACGGGTAGCGATGGCGCAGTAAATCCGTCCCTTTTTTAGTGGTTGTATCCGCCGAATGATATTCACCAATTATTATTATTCACCAATTATCCGGTTAATTGGGGTGTTGGTACAGAATATTAATATAAAAAATTTTATCCACGTAATTAATGTAAACAAAATTGAACTCATTTATTATTTGAAAGAATTGTATTTCTTAAAAAAAATATGCAATGTGTGTGTTGAAAATAGTTTTCTTGATCTTGATGAATAAAAATTTATTATATTTTTCCTGATGAATAAAAAATTTTTTTTTAAATAAATTTAATATTTAACGGATATTCGGCGGATATTCGGTGAATGACCAATTATCCAGGTGTTGAATTCTATTGACTGACCAATTATCCGGATGTTGAGTTTTATTGATTGACTAATTGTTCAAACACTCGGATAATCAACGGATACAACCACTACCTTTTTTCACCCGCCCTTCTCAATATTTCCCCATTACCATGAATATTAGAAAAGGACAGGGGACGGGTTTCTGTGCCTTGACCGCACCACGCCCGTCCCTCGTAATTGCCCGTCCTTTTTTATATTATTTTGAAGAACACCCGTCCTTTTCTAGTATTAATGGGCCAAGCTTGAAAAGGACGGGGACGGGTTCAAGCCACATCTGCTCGTCCCCCGTCCTCTTCACGTGTCCTACATATTAAATTATCAGCAAATGTAAATGATTGTGATGGCATTGTAAGGGAACCTACAGTTCATGTGATCAAGTAGGGAGGACAGTTGGTTGCTTATTTATCCTAATTGACAATTTTAATATCTCTTGCTTTTCACTAATATTGAAGATAATATTGAATTTGATATTTTTTTTTCAGAAACTTTTACTTCTGTTAGATCAATTAAACGTGTAAGAATTTAGTTTATTATTAGCTGAATTCCAGTGTAGCTTTGTATTCAAATGAAAAAAACTGGCACCGGAACATGAATCCAGATTCCAAATTCCATTTCATAATAATAATAATAACTACACTAATAATTGCGAACTTTATTTCTAGACATTTGAGTCTAAGAGTCATATTTTATGTAAACAAGAAAGAAACCAATCTAAAGTTATGGAAAAAAGCATCTTGATTGATCTATGTCTTAAATAAAGGTCGCATAAGTTAATTTACTTAATAAATTTCTATCATTTAGTAAGAACCTTCTGAAGCATAAGTTACTTTTGAGCGAAGCAAATTTATTTTTTTTATAGTTTTCAGAAAACTCTTCACAATAAGTTTTGCGCAAAAGACTTACTGATGTAGGATCGCGATTTTTTAACGTTGCCTTGAACATCCTTCAAATGTTTTTGGAATGAAGAAGGCCAAGATTTCAGAAGGAATAATAATAGAAACATTAGTTGTCGCACATTTTAAGATCGAGGATTATAATGGGTCAAAAACGTTTAAAAAAAAATTACGATCTACCTTCAATTATCTCTTTTTAAATTAAATTAGATCTACTTTCAATCATCTCTTTATTTTAAAAAATTAACATGATTTTTCTTAAAAAAATATTTATATTTTGTTGTAAAAATTACTTTAATTGAAAAATTTAACGTAATTTATTTAAATTAACACTTTATAATTATAAAAAAATGCCAAATTGTTCAACTGGGATAGAAGATCCTAGTAAAACTCCACATGTTAATTTTGTTGTTGCTATTATTATAGCAATATCAACGTCGTTTATACAATCTCTTGGTTTAACCATACAGAGGAAATCTCATGTCTTAAACGAAAGCACTTCAAGAGAGTTAAGAAGATCTGCATGTAGAAGACCCTTGTGGCATTTAGGTTTTGGTACATATATAATTTCAAATATTATTGGAAGTGTGTTTTCAATTGGATATCTTCCTATAATTATACTGGCGCCTTTAGGAGCAGTTACTCTTGTTTTTAATGCATTTTTTGCAAAATTAATACTAGGCGATGTGTTTACTAAACAGTCTTTAATAGGTTAGTATTATTTTTTTGAAAAGAATATAAAAATTAATTCATCATCTTAATAATAATATTTTTTATTATTATAGGAACATTGTTTATTCTTATTGGTGCAGTGATGATTGCATTATTTGGGGTCGTTAATGACTCAACACATTCCTTAGAAGATTTGATAGAACTATATAAAAGACCAGCATTTATTGTATATTTTTCAATTGTTGAATTTGTGGTGATTATACTTTTATCACTGAATAAATATGGAGAATATATATTGGATAAAATGTTAAGAAATGAACAAGATCCAATTTTTGGATGGTCAATGAAAAAATTTCAAACCCATCTGGGAATATCATATGGGTGTGTTGGTGGAATGATATCAAGCCAAAGTTTATTATTTGCAAAAAGTGGTATAGAATTATTAGTGTTGACCATAATTTATCAAGACAATCAATTCAACCAATTACTAAGTTGGGTTATTGTAATAATATTGGCTATTACATCTTTATTACAGGTAATATATAATAAAGTAAATCAACTGGATTTTTTTAAAAAAAATTGATTTAAGATATATTAATTTTTTTTTGTTCTTTCTCCAAAATATTCTCTTAGCTTTATTACCTTAATAAAGGATTAAGATTATGTGACACAGTTATTCTTATACCACTGTCATTTTGTTCTTATAATGTGTCAACCATATTCAATGGACTTGTTTACTATGATCAATGGAGTTGTCTACACTGGTGGCAGTTATTTTTAGTGGTAGTCGGCATTTGTATTTTGTTATGTGGAGTTTTGATATTGTCATGGAGAAAAAGTACAGCTCCAGAAGAAAGATTATTAGCAGATGAAAATAGAAAATTGTTAATGGATGATGATTTTGAAGGATTAACAGAATTATATGAAGGAGAAGACACATTTTCATCAAAATATAATGAAACCAATAATAATAATTACATAATTAATAATAATAATAACAATATTGATAATAATACCATTAGTAATAATAATAATAATACCATTAATAATAATATTAACAACAACAACAACAACAACAACAACAATAATGCATATTCAAGCAGTCCAAGTTCATCAAAAGGTGTAGTGATGTTTCATGAAATGTTACCAGGAGGAGACAAAGAAGAAGAGAATGTTAATAATGGTAATGAAGACGAAAAGACTTCATTGTTAGGGAAAAACATAAATAAAAAGCAGAATAATAGATCAGTGTCTATTGGAGCATCTCATGATAATAATTATGGTGGCATATTATAATAATTTTATATATATTCTCTCTTTTTTGTGAGAATGAGAAAGGATGAGTAAGTTTAGTAAAGGCTAATTAATTAATTTCATGAATGAATAAAAACAATTTTTTTTGTTAGTATATACAAGATCTTTATAATTTTAACAAATCAAATAAATCAAACCACTAAAAAGAATTATACATTTTGTTCTTAAAGACACCAACATATAAATGATAGTTGGAGCAAGTGGATCTGATAACAGATTATAGTAGATAGATGTTTTGTAAGGTAATAAAATAATAAATAGATAAAAGTAAATCTCTTTGCATTTTTTATAGGATGTTGTTACAAAGTCTTCATTAGCTGTATAAAAAATAATATTTAATTTGCTATATACATATGTAAACTCGATAAGTCGGTCATGTTGGGGCGGACCCCTGCGACCGACTTATCGAATTTCACGTGATTTTTTAATTTATTAAAATAAAAGATATTAACATTGAAAATATAAACATCGAAAATACACAGTGAGTCTCTGTATAACGGATATGTTTGTTCCAGGAAATTTATCCGCTATACCGAGTCATCCGTAATGCCGAGATAACCGTAAAAAA